CATGGCAAATCATAAAGGTTCATCTGGAAAAATGGAGGTCGATGGGATTTGCGAAATGTTCCTAAGATCCGAAGATCTTCACGGTGTTCGATATACAAATTATATTGGAGACGGCGATAGCAAAACTTACAAAGCAATCGTCGATTCGATACCGTACCCTGTTGCAAAAAAAGAGTGTATCAACCACATACAAAAAAGAATGGGCGCAAGGCTACGTAAATGCAAAAAAGAAAATAAGGGATTAGGAGGTAAAGGAAAACTTACGGCGAAATTAATTGATGATCTATCTACTTTTTATGGACTAGCCATTCGCAGACATCAGAATTCTGTCGATGAAATGTATAATGCAATTTGGGCCACTCTGTATCATAAGAGTTCATGTGACAAAAATCCGAAACATGATTATTGTCCGGAGGGACCAGAATCTTGGTGCACTTGGCAGCAAGCAAAAGCTGCAGGACAATTGAGCGATTATACACACAAAGCACCGCTCCCAGATAACGTCATCAATGCAATCACTCCCATTTATAAAGATTTGAGTGACAAAAAGTTGCTTGAAAAATGCTTGGGTGGTTTTACGCAAAACAATAATGAAAGTTTTAACGGCATGATTTGGAAATTTGATCCAAAAACAACATCAAGTGGAGCTGTAATAGTAGAAATCGCTGCATACATTGCCGTTTGTATTTTTAATAACGGATACACCGATATATTAAAAATAATGGAGCTGTTGGAAATTAGAATTGGACCAATAGGATCACAATTTCGTGACAACGAGAACGAGCGACGGATTTCACTTGCACAGCTCCAAGCGCAGGCGGCGACGCGTGAGGAAAGATTACGAAGAAAACAAAGAAGAAACGAGGCTGACGAAGTTGCTATTGATATCGAGGGCACTTTATATGCACCTGGATTGGACGCATTTTGGTTCGTTACGAAATTATATCATTTTACGTAAACTAATCGGTTGTAAAACTTTAAACGCGTTTTTTTCAAAACTACTTTTTCGTAACTGGGCGCACGCATATCTCGGCCAATTTTAATCCGACTTGACTTTTGAATAGAATGTTCACAATAATATTGTCTTCAGTTAAGCGTACGATTTTTTCAATCGGATTATTATTTTTTGAAAAACAATTAAAAAAGTAACAATTTTTTTCGTAAAATAGCAAACTCTTTTTTTAAAACAATGGCATTTTGTTAAAAATTATTTTTTCCAAAAATCCGTACGCTTAACTGAAACTACACTCATATACTTTAAAATGAAAAAAGAATTTTTGATTTCAGAGATCCCGTTCAGACGCAACACTGCCGCTCGTGTACCCATGTTTTTCCAATGGAAGTTTACGGCATCGAACATGGAGGCCACAAATATTAATATTAACTTATGATTTTTTTTTTATATAATCTTAAATATACGTATTATTAACATATAAAGCTAATAGTTTATACAATTTATTAATTTTCTAAAAAAAAATTCACGAAAATAGCCTTTTTTTTCGGTCGTCACAGTGGTGTTCTCCCTTAATCAAGTTTTCGATTTATACAACATTGTGACGCGAAGAGCCCTATAACGCGATCGAGGACCGCCGCCACGGGCCGGCGCTGAGGGCCTAAGGTGGCGCTAGCCGTTTATGGCGCTAGAGCAGCGAGAGGAAGGACGTGCGCGCAGCCATTCCGTCAGATCTGTTCACGCATCCGGAAAGCATCTTGTAATAGATCCGCAAAATATATCTCGTTATTATCTTTAACCTGTGTCCTTGTGAAATCGAAACCCTGTTCGTCCGAATCCTGTCGCGTCCTAAAGAACTCATTCGACCGAAGAGTACTTTCCCCCAAAGTCTCTTACAATTGGCGCCCAACGTAGTAGATTAGTTCACGACAAGGACCGTTACCTCGAACCAAGACGTCGTCTACGGAAGGACCGTCACGACAGACAACACGGTCGCAGACAACAGACATCCATACCACAACTAGTGAGAAGGTCGAACGAGGGAAAAACGGAAAAGCGAACGCAGAAAGATAAGATGGCGGAAGGCGGGAATACAGGTAACACGGGCGGAAACGCTGTTATATTAACGAACGAACAGTTCACCACGCTTCTGCAGCAGATATGAATATCTGCCACGAACGTCCCCGTCGCAAACATCGCGCTACCGGCGGGTAATTTTTCGCATTTGCAATGTGTCCATTTGCAATTGTCCAATTGTACCGTGTGATCTCTGTCTCCGCCTGTCGTGGATACATAGTAATGCAGAATTTAAAGGAATATGCTCTAAATTCATTAACAAGGAAACCATTGTTTTACTACAGATATGTTAACGATATATTATTGGCAACACTGTTTGAAAACGTAGATAAAATTTTAGATACATTCAATAGTTATCACAAAAGATTGAAATTCACCATCGAGTACAAAAATAATCGCTGTTTGAGTTTTTTAGATTTATCATTAAACGTTGTTGACAATATGATT